TACAAATGCGAAAGCACGTAAAATCGCTGAGCTTAGTGAAAAACTGTCCTATCTCCCACACAAGGATGTCATCAAACAGTCGGCAGAAATAACGAAACTACAAATAGTTTACGACCCTCCGCGAAAGAATTGGACAATCAATTAACCTTCCTTGAATGAGTGTTATATCCCACCCACCACTTCTAAATCAACTTTTTTTTCTTTTTGCCCAAATATTTACATTTATCACCAATAAAATTTTTACAGTATAAGGCTAGGAACCTACTAGAAACCATAAGGCCTTTATTTAAGGTCCCTAGCTGTCGAATATCCTCGTCCGCGCACGCCGATTATTCGATTCTTCCGACCAGTGACATCGAGAAGGCGTTTTTACAAGAACGCATTAAAGAGGAAGCGCTAAGGTTCTTTTGGAAGAGTTTCGCTTCTGACGAGTTGTCTGTTTATCGCTTTAATACTGAGCTTTGTTCGGGTTGACGTGTTCGCCATTTCTCCGCGGTGGAGTAATCAACGATGATGACGGGAAGGGAGTCTGTACGAACGGTAGCAACGAAGCGATCGAAGGCGATTGGGTGTTTAAAGATGGAACGTCAGAACGTGTAAGCTGTACAAGTGGCAATCGAATGTTGCAAGCCTAGAGAGTGAAACAAAGCAGATACTTCTCGGATTATCGTGGGACAAGTCAGAAGATACTCTAAGCGTTGTGACTCTTCAGAAGAAGACGACAACAACAAAACGCGAAACACTATCCGAAGTGTCGAAAGTTTATGACCCGCTAGAGTTGGTCTCTCCAACAACCTTACTTGCGAAACAGCTCTACAGAGAAATGTGCAACGCCAAGCTTCAAAATTGCGTTGCTTTTTTATAAGATCAGAATAAGTCTGAGAAGAATATTCATGCTTTGATAATGCATACATGTAAATCTAAGCTAAATCTATTCTTCTTGGAACCATATCTACAACTGCTTTAACGAGATTTTACAAATCAAGTCCCTCCAGTATATCGTCGTTTTCCTCAGTCGAGACGTACTTAATCAGTTTCAGCTTCGATGGTGTAACGTGTACCCCCCCCCCCCAATTTCTCTACGGATTTAGCCTTTTTCAGAGAATTTTTTTTTTGCGATTGGGGGGGGGGTCGCCCCTGGCTTACTTCTTCGCTGGTTGTTATACTTTAAAATAATTTTATATATACCGAGAAATCAATATTCCGAGTATATAAATATATAAACTGGGATGTCACACTGATAGCTTGTTTACATTTCCTGGAGCATCAAATCTTATGTTTAACCACAGTGGTTTAACCCATTAGCTGGCAATGCGCCCCTGGATGCGCCCTAAATTCCTTTGTCCAGCGCCAGAAGATTTTACTCGTCAGTGGTATAGGGTACTGCCAGTAAATGGGTTAACAAACCTATCTGCCAATGTCTTATGTCTCTTGTTAATCCATCAGCACAGTAATGACCCCTACTTTAGTATTTACCCTGTCCAACGCCAGACGATTTTTAATACTCAGTCAGTGGTAGGGTACTGTCGATAAATGGGTTAACAAGGATGTTAACAATAATAGGATGTTTCTGAAGGACTCGTTCAACACCCTGTAGTTTGTCTTTTGCTGTCAAAGGCAGCATTACTGCCCTGTGGGTAACCTAGATTCAAGCTATTATTTTGGTGCGCACTCGAGCATATTCGGGAAGTGACGTGTCCTATTATCTATAGGAAAAATAGGCATATCACCATGCACTTTCCAGCAAAGGAATGTGCTCCTGTTTACAGAATTACATAAGATTATCAGGAGCCTAGACTGGTGATGTAATTACAGAGATTGTCATAGCAATACATTTTTAATTAACACCAACAGGTTGACTAGTCAAAGGTGATGACCTTCCCAATAAATACATACATCAACGACTGATCAATACAGATGTTCATAATTCTACGCCAGTAGCCTTCATCACTCGAATATCTCCAAGTGAAGCCTGGTTCACATATGCCTGCGGTATGCCTGCGACTGTATCATTATACCTCTACTTGCCGCCGAAATACCGACAAAGTTGAACTCAAGTCAACTTTCCCGGCCTACCGGCTACCACCGATGTAACTGTGGCACTGGAGGCAATCTGCGAACAAATATTCACATAATTTACGTTTTAAGCTACCACCGGCATCGTCGCCGGTACGTCGCAGGCACATCGCAGGCATATATGTGAACCAGGCTTTAATCGATATACGCGGCATTTAGCCATTTGTTGTTATTGTAAAGGCCCATACAGACCGCGAACGCGATTCGACAACGCGACGCGAATTTTCAGTTTTTAAAATCAAATAAAACCGTCGACGGATAAAAATTTTACAAGATATGCAGACCAAATAGCTGAAACTGCTTAAGTGGTTCCGAATATTTGAAAAACATAGAAAAATAGTAAAGTTAAATGTCATTGAAAATTCGCGTCGCGATGACGAATCGTGTCCGGTCTGTGCGGGCCTAAGGTCCAAACACACCGGACACAATTCGACAACGCGACGCGATTTTTTAGTTTTTGAAAGTTAATAAAACAGCCAATGAGAGTAAATTTTGAATGATATGTAGACCAAATAACTCCACATTTTATAGCGCTTCTAAATATTTGGAAAATTTAAACTAGGATCAAAGTCATCGGTCAGTGAAAATCGAAAAATCGCGTCGCATTGTCGAATCGCGTCCGGTGTGTCTGGTCCGGACGCGATTCGACAACGCGATAATTTTTTGGCGATCATTTCTTGCTCGTTCTCGCCAAACACACACTTAAGCGCCGCGGCGAATTTTTAGTGTCACGGATGCGGCGCTTATTTGAGGAATATTTTATTTGTAAACGCTAATATGAAATATTAGCAACAAAAATATATCAAATAAAAAACACTGGAAATGCAGTAGAAAAACTTCCGAGTCAGGCGAGTCTTGTTAAAGATTGCAACGTACTTAGTCGTCGGTACCAAAGGTATTTTCTTTCCGCGGTTGGGCATCACAAACAATTTTTGAGAGGGTGCTTCGATTAAGCGCCGCGTTGTTATGAAGAAGTGCCGCGTGTAACCGCTCATATGCGGCGCATAATCGGGGGCGGCGCTTAAACGAGTAAATACGGTATGGTAATTTGCCTCTGGAGGTAGGGAGTCCGTGGTATCAACGATGATATATACAAGGATAGCTCCTCACGTGGAGATCATGTAAACACCCCCTATATGTTATTGTAAATAGAAGTCAGCATGAACTCAGCGGGTAAATAAAATCGTAGCACACCATTCACTGCGAGTGTTTGGAAACCACGCAGGCACATCGTGGGAAACGATATGAACCGTGTAAAAATATACATCTTTCCGGCTATTTTTATATTCACCTGGTGTTGATAAATTTATTATACCTCCCGTGAGGGCAAGTCAGTGACAGATACCTCACTGCACATACGATTCGTACGAATTTCCTTTCCAACGTATTCCGGCCATTTTGTCAAGCATTGCAGTTTGTGCAATCTCAAAACTCACCTGAAACTTTCTCGAATTTTATGCTATTTTTTAGTTAAATTAACTAACAGCCTCACAGGCTTTAACGGATGTATATAATAGACCATTGTTACATGCTTGCAACTTTACTTGCAAATTCAAAGTTTGCAATGTCTTAGCGAAAACGACGGCAATGTATTTTTTTAATAAATATAAAAAACATGTAAGAAGACGGTTTGGTATCAAAGTTTTAGCAGAAACGAACAGCTTTTAGCATATATTATCCAATAATGTACATTACTGTTTTTACAGCCATGTTGTACTTTGCGGCTTTAAATACTGTGAAAAGTTACCATACTTTATTTTATAAAACAGCTTTATTCATGGTACTTATAAGAATAAAATAATATCAGAAGTATGTGTACCATACCTATGTATGCCAAAAGTTTACTTGCATGATAATAATTCGAAAATGACATACGCGTAGATAAATGTATAACTATATAACTAGTTATTCAAAATCAGTGTAAGGGGCCTGGGAACGACTGTGTTGCCTTGACAACAAAATTAGAAGTATTTTCCCATGCGTCTCATCATGTACTATCTGTATGCAAAATTTCATTTGATTTGAGCCAATAATAACTGAGCTATACTTCAGTTTACTATTCAATAAACATACTTACCCAACTATGACGTCACATTTTGTGCTGAATCAGCAATTTATATTTTGCACATTTTTCCGTACAACTCCGGAACCAGATGAGATAGCATAGAGCATTAAACGGCCAATCGTACGGTGGCCCAGACGCGACAGCACAAAAACAGTTTTTGTATTTTTTGATTTTTTGATTTTTGTATTTTTTGATTTTTGTATTTTTGTATTTTTTGATTTTTGATTTTTTGATTTTTGTATTTTTTGATTTCTTGATTTTTTGATTTTTTGATTTTTTGATTTTTTGATTTTTTGATTTTTTGATATTTTGATTTTTCGATTTTTGATTTTTTGATATATATTTGGATTTTTTTAATGTTTAAAGACCTTGTCAAGTTCGTTCTGCACATCAGTTCTGTTCATAACAAAGGGCGACCCACAGAAATAAATATTGCCCAAATTTTGCATTTTTCGAACTGTTTTGAATTGAAACGTACTCTAGTTTATATTCATTTACAATAGCGAACCAGAAAACTGTTAGATATTTAGTTAATAGTATGTCTTATTTTACAAATATATAGCAGTCCAAAATATAAACAAAGCGTCGAAGGATTTATTTAAATTACGCGGACTTGACATGCATGGTCTTCAAAAGTTTGAAGTACTATAGGCGAAGCCGAGTATCTTTTATAAGTCTGATAAAACACGCACTGCGGATGTAAATTTTATGTCTACAATCTAGATAAAGCATGAGTGGCCGTGTTGTAACAAATGTACAAACTTGAACCAAAGACAATGTCTGGGACAACAATGTCACAACATGTGATACTTCGATACTTCGTATGACATGTGATCAAACGTTTGAGAACATTCGTATTCTTCAACAATTTTAAATATTCAATGAATGATATTTGGTGAGAAAATTTAACTTAAAGTTTATCTAAATGAGTTTTTTAGTACTATTTAATACATGATCAGCAGTGTTTTATCAGATATAAAATAGGAGGCGAAGCCGAATATCTTTACTCTTTAGGTCTGATAATAAAGAAGACATCGGCACTGTATTTTAAATTGCTTCAAAAACGATCGCTCTATACTACGGTCATTGGCGAAGTAATTTTCAAAAAATACGTTGTGTAAGTCGAGAAAATCAAAGTTAAAGTTTATGTAAATCAAGGGAAATCTCTATCACATGTAAA